GTTTTGGAGCCAGGGGATGTGGTGGTGTCATCCGAGTCCCTCTCTCTGGCCTGGTCAGGATGTGTTAGTAGGGAGACCAGCTGTCCCGTATTTTAGCCCTCCTGCAGGTGCCCCAACTTTTTCTTAAAAATGGACAAATTGTCCCATTTTTTCTGTCTCTCCCTCATTAGTACTGGTGGGTCCTGCTACTGGCCGGGTCCGTGCTCATCAGCTGCCACCCACCAGTGGGAGTGTGTGTGTCTGTGTGTGTGGGGGGGAGGTCCAGTGGCTGATGACAGGGGTGAGTGTGCAAGGCTGGTGGTGGGGCAAAGATGCAGCATATGGGGCCAGTGACGCCCCCTGCTGGTCTGGACTTGGACATCAGGGCCCCATTCCCCATCCTATTTCCAGCTAGCACTGGCTGCAGTGGTTGGTGAGTGCAGGCAGGCACCAGGCGGCTGCCAGTTCCGAGTTGCCCTGCAATTCACCCTCTTGCTGTCCTCTGCCTGGTTTGGCCTTCAACACACCCCTCAAATCCCCTACTCCTCCTTGCACCCCTCCCACAGTGTGGCACATTCCACTCCCACTGCTCCTTCTTACACCCCTCCCCCTAGTGTGGCACATTCCACTCCTACTGCTCCTTACACCCCTCCCCCCGGTGTGACATGTTCCATTCCCGCTGCTCCTCCTTACACCCCTCCCCCCAGTGTGGCGCATTCCACTCCCGCTGCTCCTCCTTACACCCCTCCCCCCAGTGTGGCGCATTCCACTCCCGCTGCTCCTCCTTACACCCCTCCCCCCAGTGTGGCGCATTCCACTCCCGCTGCTCCTCCTTACACCCCTCCCCCCAGTGTGGCGCATTCCACTCCCGCTGCTCCTCCTTACACCCCTCCCCCCAGTGTGGCGCATTCCACTCCCGCTGCTCCTCCTTACACCCCTCCCCCCAGTGTGGCGCATTCCACTCCCGCTGCTCCTCCTTACACCCCTCCCCCCAGTGTGGCGCATTCCACTCCCGCTGCTCCTCCTTACACCCCTCCCCCCAGTGTGGCGCATTCCACTCCCGCTGCTCCTCCTTACACCCCTCCCCCCAGTGTGGCGCATTCCACTCCCGCTGCTCCTCCTTACACCCCTCCCCCCAGTGTGGCGCATTCCACTCCCGCTGCTCCTCCTTACACCCCTCCCCCCAGTGTGGCGCATTCCACTCCCGCTGCTCCTCCTTACACCCCTCCCCCCAGTGTGGCGCATTCCACTCCCGCTGCTCCTCCTTACACCCCTCCCCCCAGTGTGGCGCATTCCACTCCCGCTGCTCCTCCTTACACCCCTCCCCCCAGTGTGGCGCATTCCACTCCCGCTGCTCCTCCTTACACCCCTCCCCCCAGTGTGGCGAGGGTGCTGCTGTCTGGGCCCTGCCTCCATTCTAGAGCTGTTCATTTACAAATGATCGAATGACTAACTGGGGATTTCTGTGCGCCGCAGGTGCCAGTGCTGATGTGGCCTTTCTGCGTGGCAGGCGCTGTCAGGGCGCTGGGAATGTTGGCAGCCAGCAGGGGGTGGTAGGACACTGAGGTGGCCCAGGAAGAGCAATGGAACCTGAATTAGCTGGTGCCAGGGGTTAGTCTGCACAGCCTGGGGCTGGGGCCAGCTCCCAGCCCCATGCAGCACAATGCGCAGACAGCGGCCGAGTCACGGATACTGCCAGCCCCCGCCCCTCCGATCTGCCTGGCTCCGGGTGGTGGGGGCAGTGCACAGCCCCTCTCCTTGCTCCAAGGGGGCTGTTTGGTGTATGAGGAAGAGACTAATCGTAATCGATACTTTTAAGTTGCTTTTTAAAAGTCGGGTTACTCTGGGAATTTGCAGCTTGACTGTTACGAGCGAAAGCAGCAGCCTCCTTCGACGCCTGTGTCTCTCCTTCCTGACCCGGCCCGTACCGAGGCCCCGTGATGCTGGGAGGGGATTTACACTGTGCTGCTCAACAGATGCTTCCTTAAATGATGCATGTGGGCAGAGGGCCAAATCCGGAGGGGCGCTGAGCTCCCAGGATGGCTGTTGCCGCTCCGGAGTTGGCAAGCCCCGTGCCGCTCCGGATTCGGCCTGCTCGTTGCAAAGCGCGTCGGGATGCTCTGGGAGGAAGATGCTTTACTGAACACCGGCTATTACACAACCTGAGTGCGCCAGAAGGCTGTGAGCGTGATTAGGAGCTAGGGGCTGGGAAGGCAGCTTGAGAGGCCAAGTAACGCGAGGACAGTTCTAATACAATTAAGTAACAAAAGTGCCATAAAAAGACGGCGGGGGATGGACAGCACTTTCCGTGCTGCGCGCTAGAGGGAGCTGTGTGATCCACTGAGGCTCTGGTTTCTGGTGGGGACGGCGAGTTTATTTTGCTCCCACATTTCCAAGGAGTGAATGCAACGGGGCTGTCTGAGAGCAAGGCCAAGGCAGAACGTGGCTTAATGTGATCAACTCATCTCGGTTCCTTGCGCCTTCTGTGGGATCCTGCAGGCCAGGACTTGATGTCAGAGTTCATTCTAAGCCCTCTTCCTGGAAATGGCTCTGAAATTCGGAAGCACCCAGGGTTACCCAGGCTGCTGGCACGTCCCCTGCTCCCGGCGCCGGATTCCTCCTCCTCTCCATGCAGCAAGGAAGAAAAGGGCGTTCAGATCCGCCGCGGGCAGCGGCAGGGTGGCGTTCAGATCCGTGTTTACTGCTAGTCTAAACTCTGTGCTACAGACGACGACGCTTGTCTGACGCGGGGTCATCCGCTTTGCATACCCAGTCCAACACCAGACATGCAAACTGCCCCTCTCGTTTCCTGCTCATCATTTGCATGCAGAGGAACTCTCAGGACATTCCTCCTCCTGACGCTAATTAGCACAGCAGGCAGCTGGGGGCGATGCTGCAATCACGTTCCAGCCACTTCTGTGATGAGAACACAACGGAGCACCAACCGCAGCCCCAGCTCGTGGCCTCAGGCCTGCTGCCCATGTCATTTACACAGAGGGGAATCGGGAGTGACTCCACCGCCCCCTGGGGGTGAGCCAAGCGTTTCACCGGCGTAAGGGCGAGGGGAGTCAGGCCAAATGAACCTCTGCTTGTTTCAAGATGTAGCCTTGATCCGAATCTGCCGTGTGCGATGAATATGAGTCATGCAGGGCCAGATGGTGCCTCGCCTTCAGACTGGGCGGGCGGGGGAAGGACTCTTCTCCCCACCCGGTCCTCTGGCATAGTAAGTGTACACAAAATTCCACCCCCTGGGGCGTGCAGGGGTGGTTCCCTCCTTGCTCCCTCGGGGGTAACGATGCTATGACTCGGGAGTGGGGGGTACCTTGCTGGTTGCTATGCTGGGCAGTGGGTTGTGAGTGACCCCCACTGGCTGCAGCACAGCCCAGCAGGGCAGGGGTGAGTCATTATGCAAAGGGGGCTCTGACCCTGTCTGTCCAGTTATCTCCCGGGGAGCGGAACAATGGGAAGAAGGGGAGTGGAGCCCTGGCTGGGGACAGGGCTGGAAGTGAGTTATTTAGTTTCTGTCTGGGGATCATGGAGGAAGCAGCCTAGGCAACAGGCTGGAATTTAGGGGCCCAGGCTCCCCCATCTCAAGGGGGGCTGAGGCATCCTAGGCCTGCCCTGGAACCAGATTACATCCGTGCTGTGCTGTATCCTGGAGAAGCAATAAACTCCCTCTATTCTACTGTCTGGTGGAGTCTGTCCGTGTCATTACGGGGGTGCAGGAGGCAGGGGACCCTGACGCGCTGTCACACTCGGGCATGGAGCAGGGGAGCTGTGTGGGCTTGCAGGGCTTAGCAAAGGAGGCAGCCGGGAGGTGAGTGTCTGCAAACTCTTGTGGGCCGGACCCTGGGCTGGGTCATTGGCGTGGCTTCGCTGCAGCCCGCGGAGCCATCCTGAGTCAGACCAGACGAGGGTCTGGCTCGGTGGGTCGCGTCCCCCTTGGCAGTGCAGCGGACGCCATCCCTCGCTGGGGGCTGTGCCAGCCCGGCCCCATCCTGCCCTTCATTAGGGTCTCGTTCAATCCCCTCTTCCAAGGGGTCGAGAACGCTACGGGCTCCAGCAGGGCCAGGAATCTGTCGAGCGAGGGGCTGAACTGGAAGTCCTTGCCAAATTTAGTCACCCCATTTGTCATCCTCAAACAGGGCATGCTGGCTTTCTAGCTGCTACTGGGGTTATGTCTGCAGCACCGGAGGGTAGGCACCTCCTACCTGGATGGAAGGGAGTTTTCCATTGATGTAGACACAGGAGGCAGGTGTCATAGGTCAGGGGAGCTCAGACAGCCAAGAGTGGCCCTCCCCGTACTCCACCCCTGACCCCCCTCTGCTTGGCCCGGCTCCCTCCAGTCTCCGGGGGTGGCCTGGGCTGGAGCTGTGTTACCCACCCTCCCCACCAGCTGGGCCTGGCTCTGCACCATCCACCCTCCCTAAGCTCTAGGGCTGTGGTTTCACACGACCGCCCTGGTGTGCTGGAGCTGTAGGTTCACATGCCCCCTGTGCTCTGGAGCTGGGGGTTCACACGCTGCCCGTGGGTGCAGATAATCCACTTTGTCAAGAGGGGGAGCTGGATTGGTGGAGGGCCCACCTGCCTCTACAGTGGGGGTTGGGTCGGCCCAACTACGTCCCACAAGGAGCCACGTTTTTCACAGCTCTGAGCAATGTAGCTGGTGGTTGAATTTCTAGATGCAGACCAGGCCTGAGGCTCCTAGAGGGCAAGGCTGGGGGGCTCAGGTCTGTTTACAGACCCCGGGACTGCCCTTGATTTAAGAATTGCCAGTGACAGAGACTCCACCCCAGCCCTGGGTACATTGTTCCCGTGGTTAAGTACCCCGCTCTCCAAAGTGCATTGATCTGACTGTATCTGGTTTCATGTCTGGCTTTTGTGATGGCTTAGTTCCCCATGTAGGCACGGTACAGCAGGTGAGCAAGTTGCCCTATGGCAGGATGGGTTTTTCCCACCTCCTCCCCCGGTCACGCACTCCTCTGGGCACAATCAGCCTCAAACCATCCACCTATGAGGGTTGTCCAACCTGGTGAGGGGCAGCCCTGCAAAACGGGGGAAGCCAAGCCTGGTGGAAGGTGGCATGTGGAGGGAAGCAGGGCACACTGAGAAGGAGCCGTGGGTCAGGAAAGCTGCTGGAGAGGGAGAGAGGCCATCTGTATTTTGCTTTGCCTCCTCTAGAGCCAAGGGTGCTGAGTATGGGGGGTTAGAGCCAGTGTTCCCTGTACTCTGGGCGCTTGTGCAGCCACTCGGGAGCAATTCCAGGGGTGCCCTGTGGCTAGGTGTTTTTCTGCTGGTGCCTCAGTGCACATAAAAAAAGTATTCCACACGTGGATGGAAAAATTCTGCACCTGGATGGAAAAGATTAGAAGGAACGTTGGTTAGAAACTCAGCCTTCCTTCCCAAAGGCGCTGTGCCTTGTACAGTGTGAGCCCAGGCTCTTTTGTGGGTGAGTGGATTGTTTGGTTTTGTCAGTGTGAACTGCAGCCAGTAGTCCTCACAGTTGTTAGGTGGGAAGAGGTGGGGTGGGGGCGGGGCCTTGGAGAAAAGCAGGGGTGGAGCATCTCCAGGGAAGAAGAAAAGTCAGCCCCGTGTGTGTGTATCCCACTACCGGAAGCCTTTGTCCTGACCACAAGCTCCGAAACCACAGAGGCAGGGCATGGGGTAGCCACAGTAGGTCATGCGATAGCCTGTCATTTCAACTGCCACAGGAGTTCATAGGCAAATCGTCGTCGGCTCTGCTCAGAGATAATACAGCCCATCTTTAATTGCTCATGAAAACAGGAACATGACAGGCGGCTGCTGATTTTCCATGTCACAAGTTTCCCTGGGGCTGAGTCACGCCTGCGCTGGCACAGGCCGGCAGTAGCGTAATAAAGTGCCATGGCTCAATAGGCTTTGTGCCAGTTCATAGCCCCCCAAGGGGAAGACACGGTGGGACCCGGGTGATGGCATTTTACAAGCGGCACCTGCTTCGCCTTTCTCGCTACGCTCGCAGAACGCTGCTATTTCCTTCTCCGGCAACAGCTCTTCCTTTGAGGTTGTCCAGACCCGGCTGTCTCCTCGCTACCGGGCCGTGCTCTGGGTTACCTTGATGGCAGCATATTCCGAATGTTCTTCTGGGGCGCTTTGCTTGGGCTTCTGGGGCCCCGCCGAGTGCTGCAGGTCTGCGTAGAGTACGTCGGAGCCCTTCTCCTCACGGGGCTGAAATGAAAGCGTTCACAGATTGCTCTCTGCGGGCGGCAGGGAGCGCTGTGTACACACTGGGCACACCCCCGGGGTGGTGTTACTGCCCCTGTGGTATCCCTCTTACTCCTCGGTCCACTGTGGGGTGCATTGCACCCAGAGAGCAGGCAGGAGGAAAGGAGAAGAGATTGCAAAGCAACACTCAGCCTGTACTGACCTGTTTCCTCCCTGCTTCCCCCCCGCAGCCTCTCTCTGCTCCCAGCACATATGGCTATCAGAGCGGGCGGTACTTGCATGCCCTGCTTTGTGCTGTAAGCTGCGCGGTTGAAACACCCCCACATGGTGTGTAAACTCACGGCTTCTCTGGGCAGAGTCCCGGCCTGGCACCGAAGGGGTTAATGCGACTGTGCTGCCAGTGAATCACACACAGACTGGAGGTTTAGGAAAAGAACGGGCAGGCTCCTAAAACCCCCAGCAGGAGCCTGAGCCTGGCGGCTGAAACGCCCCCAAACCACAGGGGGCTGTCGTGGAAGGAGCCCGGGGCTTGGAAAATCTCCCTAGTGCCTTAGCAACAGCAGGGCTCACCGCCCATACTAGCGCCAGCAGGAAAATCGAGGTGACCCCTGCCTGGGCCAGGTTCTGCTCCCCTGCAGCCCCTTTCCTGGTGACAGACGGGGGGAGTCCGGGTGACGAAGGGTACATCTTCTTGGCAGGCAGGAGGTGGGACTGTAGCACACAGCCCTCCCGTGCTAGCTAGCTTGCTAGGCCCGCAGGGTAGAGGAGCTCCCTGGAGGCTTGTCAAGGCCACACTGCTATTGATAGCGAGCTCGCTTGGGGGGTGCACAGGTGCTGCAGCGACACCCGTGACTGCTGCATAGACAGGGACTGGCCCCCGGTCGGCATGTCCTTAGAATCTTAGAACGGGAAGGGACCCCGAGAGGCCAAGGCCCGTGCTCTGCCCGCATTGCAGGGCCAAGCACCATCTAGATCAGGAGTGGGGAACCTAAGGCTCTGGGGCCAGATGCAGCCCCCGGCTTTGCCTGGATCTGACCCCTGAGGCTTGCCCCCTCCCCCCAGTATTGGGAAGCCCATGCTGATGGAGGGTGGGGTTTTTTTTGTGTTGTTTCTTACTTATGTGCAGTCCCTGACTGATTTTTCTGTGGGTCAGTGGCCCCTAACCCCAAAAAGGTTCCCACCCCTGATCTAGATTATCTCTGATAGATGCCTGTCTAACCTGCTCTTCAATATCTCCAGTGATGGAGATTCCACAACCTCCCCAGGCAATTTATTCCAGTGTTTAACCACCCTGACAGGTAGGAAGTTTTCCCTACTGTCCAACCTAAACCTCCCTTGCTGCAATTTCAGCCCATTGCTTCTTGTCCCATCATCAGAGGTCAAGGAGAACAATTTTACTCCCTCCTCCTTGTAACACCCTTTTAGGTACTTGAAAGTTACTATCATGTCCCCTCTCGGTCTTCTCTTTTCTAAACTAAACAAGCCCAATTCTTTCAGTCTTCCCTCAACGCTCATGTGTTCTAGACCTTTCATCATTTCTGTTGCTCTTCTCTGGATCTTCTCCAATTTCTCCACATCTTTCCTGAAATGCAGTGCTCAGAACTGGACACAATATTCCAACTGAGGCCTAATCAGCGCAGAGTAGAGCGGAAGGATAACTCCTCGGCTACGTCTACACTGGCATGATTTTCCAGAAATGCTTTTAACAGAAGCATTTTCGGAAAAGCGGGTCTAGATTGGCAGGATGCTTTTCTGCAAAAGCACTTTTTGCGGAAAAGTGTCCGTGGCCAATCTAGACGCGGTTTTCCGCAAAAAAGCCCCGATCGCCATTTTCACGATCGGGGCTTTTTTTGTGGAAAACAGTACTATGCTGTCTACACTGCCCTTTTGCACAAAAGTCGTCCGGAAAAAGACTTTTGCCCGAACGGGAGCAGCATAGTATTTCCGGAAAAGCACTGATGATTTTACATGAGATCGTCAGTGCTTTTCCGGAAATTCAAGCGGCCAGTGTAGACAGCTGGCAAGTTTTTCCGCAAAATCAGATGTCTAGACAACCTTTGTGTCTTGCTCACAATACTCCAGTTAATACATCCCAGAATCATGTTTGCTGCTTTTGCAAGTGTCACGCTGTTGACTCATACTTAGCTTGTGACCCACTATGACCCCTGGATCCCTTTTTGCAGGACTTCTTAGACGGTCACTTCCCATTTTGTGTCTGCAACTGATTGTTCCTTCCTAAGTGGAGCACTTTGCATTTGTCCTTCCTAAACTTCCTCCTATTAACCTCAGACCGTTTCTCCAATTTGTCCAGATCATTTTGAATTCTGACCTTATCCTCCAAAGCAGTTGCCGCCCTTCCCAGCTTGGTATCCTCTGCAGACGTTATAAGTGAACTCTTTATGCCAGTATCTAAATTGTTGATGAAGATCTTGAACAGAACCAGTCTCAAAACTGACCCCTGCAGAACCCTGCTTGTTCTGCCCTTCCAGCAGGATTCTGAACCATCAATAACTCCTCTCTGAGAATGGTCCCGTAGGAATAGCTGGGCTAACGTGGCCCTATTCTGCAGAGTTGTTGACTCGAGTCCCACGACTTGAACTCGAGTCTGACTTAAGCCGCCTAGGTGACTCGACTTGAGACTCGACTCGGGTTCGTTGTTTGTGACTTGAGACTTGCTAATTTTGTTAAATCGACGTGGTGAAAAAATTGTCCGAAAATGCCGATATTGATGGCTTGTACAAAAGTGACTTGACATTTTTTAAATTAAGACTCGAGACTCGACTTGGGACTTGACAATGACGACTTGAAGACAACGCTGCTATTCTGTCTACCTTCACAGACCCACTTTCCGAGCATCCCGGGGGCAGAAGGGGTGTGACAGGGTGCAGGGCAGGGGGGTGTTGCTGGCAGGCAAAGCAGCCACCCCCTCCCAGCCCCTGCTTGCTCCTTCTGGGCTTCACCTCCCAAGCCTGCACCCATGTTCTCTGCCCATGTGAATTACTGGGATTCCCTCTGTTCTCTGCTTGCCCCCTGCATGCTCTCACGTGCTGGTCTTGGGTGGGTTGCTGGGTTGGGGGCGGGTGCTGGTGGCCTGTGCCATGCAGGATTGGGGGGGGAGGACGGGCTGGATGATCTGGGGGTCTGGTTGTGGACTCTGTGACTCTGATTCTCCCCTGTTACGTGGGGGTCGCTACCGTGGCCTCAGTGGAGTTACCCCTGACATACACCAGTGAGCAGATAACCTGGCGGGCGCTGATGAGAGATGGGGCAGCCCCCAGGTGGGCTCTTGGGCCACTCGGTGAGCACATTTGGAAGGCCAGAAGGGGAGCTGCCGGGGAGCCCAGCTGTGCCTGCTGGGAGCAGAACCGGATCCCCACGGCCCCTGGGTGTCAGGCTGGAGCCCTACAGGTCTGGGCCCAGGAAGTGGAGAAAGAGGCTCAGGTGGCTCAGGGCAGCTGGGGTGTGTGTGTGTCTGCAGGAAAGCTGGGGTGTGATACGCAGAGCGTGGAGACATGGCGGGGGGAGGGGGGGGGGCGGCCGGCGG